TCTAGCCCAAAATTGCATATAGAATTTCAAAGAATGACCTCTTCCCAGATATAGCAGAACTTGTATGGTGGTGCTGCAAATATGTCATCTTTTGAAGTGTAAGAACTTTAGATCCCTAGACCTGCCCATCTCTTCACTATCTTTTGGACACTGGTAAGATTCGGAGTAAAGGAGTCTTAAATATAATACCATCTCGCCAGAGAGTAATTAATATTTCTGGACATGCAGACAGGTCTGAGGTAGGAATCACACAGGCAATAAATGAATGAGAAGATAGACTCCAGGTTATGTCGAGAGGTTCAAAGCCTGGCTTTTTTTTCACAGTTGGACGATTAAATCATTTTTAGAATTTGGGCTTTTCAGAGAGAGGCTTTTTTCCCTTTTACATTAACTAAACTCTTTTTCCCCTAAAACTGTTCAGTTACATAATAAAGTGTGTGTGCAAAGTCATGCCTTTTTAGTATAAAACACAGAGTCATCTCCTTCATTTCTGAAATTACTGTTATGATATTACTAATTTTGGACACAGAAAATAAGACATTGGCAGAAGGATTTTCTGGGCAGAATAAATATGTGACTTGTTCTTACCGAGCCTGATGTTAAATATAACCTTGGTACCCCTCTTCCCAACTATCTGGTAGTTGTTTATCATCAACCTACTACCTTATTATAAATATTAGACTCCAAATGATTATTATTCCAGCAGTTAATATTTTCTAGACCTTTCTGCCTGGGCCAGAATCAGGTGACTTTTCTTGCTTTAATTCATTCTGCGTGTGTTTATTTTTGAAAAATTTTTGTTTGAGTATGGACAATTCTCCAAAAATTAGAAATTGAGCTCCCATTTGACCCAGCAATACCACTCCTGGGAATATATCCCAGAGCGGCACAAAAGTATAGTCGAAGTGACATCTGCAATTGTTTGTTTATTGCAGCACTCTCTACAATAGCCAGAATCTGGAAAAAACCTGAGTGCCTGAGAACAGATGACTGGTTAAAGAAACTTTTGGTACATTTATACAATGGAGTACTATGTAGCTGTTAGAAAAGACGAAGTCACGAAATTTACATACAAGTGGTAATACATGGAAAGTGTCATGTTAAGCAAAATGACTCAGAAAGAAAGGGATAGACATAGAAAGATTGCATTCATCTGGGGAACAAAAAGTAACAAAATAAGAGACTAACACCCAAGAATGGCAGAGATTAGTACCAGGAATTTTATTCCATGGCTTGGAGGCCAACCACACATACTAGGGGGAAAGGGAGCTCAGATAGAGAAGGGAACACCAAATAAAGGTGTTGGGAGGATCCTCCCAGGATGGAAGAAGCATGCTGAAAGTAGACTACAGACTAAACCTGATTGTCACCCATTGCCTCTTATGCAAACCACAACACCCAATAAGAGAGAGAGAACAAAAGGGAATGCCCTGCCACAGAGGCAGGGTGGGATGGGGGAGATGGGGGGTGGGAGGGATACTGAAAACAGTGGTGGTAGGAAATGGGCACTGGTGAAGGGATGGATATTTGATCATTGTATAATTGTGAAACCCAAGCACAAAATGTGTAAGTCTGCAACTGTACCTCATGATGCCTCACTATTAAAAATTTTTTAAAAATTTGTTTATTTGGGAAACACATCCTCGGGGTTCTGGCTCAGCACTCAAGGCTCGCTCCTGGCACTTAAGACATCTACAAGGCAAGTGTCCTGCTTGCTCTCTATTGCTCAGGCCCTAACACATTCTGTTTATGGAGTTTCTCTTTAGCTCACCAGACAGCACCTGATTTAGGTGGCTTCTGCCATCCGTTCCCCCACACATGCAGCCTGGCCACAGCCCTGGCTGCCTTCCAGAACTTCATCATGGAAGCAGCTGTCCAACAGGGGAAGATGAGTTGGCTTTATCTTTAAACATTCCCAACCAGGAGATGCAATGTCACAAATAGGTCAAAGGTTCTGTCACATTTAAAGTATGACGTGATGGCAAGCCCAAAAAGATTAACTTATCAGGCAACTCTGTTTTTATGAAAGAATAGAGACCTTGAACATGGGCAATTATGTCTTGGAGTTATGTATTAGGAATAACAACTGGTAAGTGCAAAGGGTGTTTCCAGATTCATTACAATTGGTTCAATTAACTTTATTTTTCACTATGAATGCATTGAATATTTACCTTATACAAGATAATACTGGATAGCTGGAGTACTGAATGGCCTTACACTAGTAAGAGGAGGCTCAGGGTGATTATCCCGGGGGAATTCTGGTTAATTCTAAGCTGAAATTCAGACTAGCAACAAAAAAAGTTGCTTTGCTAATCTAGAAAAAGAACAACTTAGAGAGGGCAAGATTATTGTTAGTAGGAACATAAGGTACTTTGGGCTTTGCAGAATAGGAAAGTATCAAGAAAGAATACAGACCATATTTGGGAAATCATTGATAAACAACATGGGTAAATTGAGGGAGCCAACTTGAATGTAGCCTGGCATATGAAAAACAAGAAGATAATCCTAGAAAGATAGGTTAAGGTTGTATTTTGGAGAACCAGAGGTCTCAATCTGCAAGACAAACATTGGAAAAAATCTTAATTATTAATTATAGATCCTAGCTTCCTTGCAAGGAATGGCATAACACTCAACTTCTAAGGGTACATTTTTTTGGGGGGGGTTCAAATTTCAGTGTTTCCTTTGTTTGACACTGAGCAATATATTTCCTTCCTAGGCTTAATTTACTTATTGGCAAATAAAAAGATTAGAATAAGCTATGTAGTTATGTACACAAAGTCAATGTATTTATGTATACATATTTTATAAAATATTGTATGTTTTTATCTAAAAACATTTGATTTTTGATTGGAAATGTTGACAAACTTAAATGAAGTGACCAAATGAAATCAGATCATTGGTTTTCATTTCACCACTGAACTTAGATGGTTCCTAGGATATTAATCTAGATAAACTAGTCTTACAGTTTGAAGGAATAAAACACTGAAGTCAGGAAAATAATTTCAGTTTCTGGCTAAAGTAAAAGGAGATTTAAAGAAGATGAGTAGAGAGGGAAAGTCCTTCAAAGACATATTGCAGTAGTATAATCAAAAGGAATTGACAGTTGATTGAGCATCAATTTTAAAGATTTCAAGTACAGGAAGCACTACTTTTTAAATTGACATGCTCTTTTATATTAAGACCTCTAAGTAATCTGATTTAGAGATGAGTTTTAATGCTGGCATTACTCAGTTTTAATGTCTTTGGGCCTTCTAGTGGTGTAAGTTGATATCTCTTATTTAACAACAAATATTTATTGTGTACCTCTATCTGGCTGGTCTATTCTAGGAAGAAGAAGCCAGATTGGCAAATTAAGTAAAGAACAGTAAAAGATGAAAGATTGCATATGCATAGTTTACCAGTGAGGCTAATTCCAAAAATCCGTTGAGAGTTTCTTCCAGGACTGGTCACAACTGTACAGCTCAGGATAGAACACCCTCATAGTCAAAGTAGTTCCTCTGACCACAGTCATGCTCTTTTTCATATCGACTTTGGAATAAATGGAGACTCCCAGTTTTTCAGAAGAGAAATGTGCGGTTCACAGCTTGTAAAATGGTAAGGTAGGACCAGGACAAATATCAGATGTTGTGACTCCAGCTCCACAGTGTTTCAGACCCCAGTCAGTTTTCCTTCTTAAGCAATCCTAAACAGCAGCAGGCTGTTATGAAACAGTCTGCTGGCGAATTCTCAGGGTAGATATTTTGTTGAAGGACAGGAGTGAAAGAGTTTAGTGTTTCTGTCCCACTGGCCACAAGATTTTCCTGTGCCAGGATTTAAAGGTAGGGAAGTGGAAGGAACTACTTTTAGACGAAGAAAAGGTAGCATGATTATGGACTTCTTTTCCTTTCATTAGGAGTCTTAAAGCAGCCCCTTGCTTTCACAAAACCGGGATTTGAGGATTTTCCAAAATGATCAATTTTATCGATCTTGACCGAGTGAAATATACTGTAAGATACCATGACATTTTGGACCCAAACACAAAATGCGGTGGTATATAGTGAAGCGGTGTGTCCTCATTGGCCCTGCAATAGTTTTTTCTGCACTTTGCCCCTCCATTAACTGCTCCGTTTAGGGGTCTTTAAGACCCAGTTTTCTTCTCTCAATTAAAGTCATAGGTTAATCTTAGAAATTCTAAGCCTAATTGATCGAACTATTTTCAGAGTTTATTGCTACTAGAGTCTACCCTCTTTCCTGTTCTTTCTTAAGGGCCCCTTCCACTTCTTGCAACTTTAAGTTCTGATCCCGGTTATCTGGGAGCCAGTTGGGAACTACAGGCACAATGCGTTCCCCACATCCAGGCGTCCCTTTAAAAAGCGAGTCCCAGTTCAAGAGGCAGAGTCCTCTTCTCTCCTTCCAGCGAGCAGCATTTGCAGCTTGCTGTGAGGGGGCTTTCTGACGAGCAGAGGGGGAGAGGAAGGAGAGTTGGCTGGCGTTTGGGAGCAGATTTCGAGTGCTTCTCACTGGAGGGACTCGCTTTTCCTTGAGCTGTCAGACACTGCAGGCTCAACCGAGGCGCGGAGGTGCAATTCAGGCTGGTGGAGCAGCGGGGGAAGGCAGGGACAGGCGGGGCTAGCGCGGCTCTGCAGCTGGTCACACGCACCAGCCCGACTCCACACTCCCGCCATCCCTGCCAGCGCGCCTCGCCTTTCCCACCGTGGGCTGGCGACGCGCATCCGGGGAGCGGGGCATCGAGGTTAGGCAGAGGTCAAGGAAGGTGCCTTAACGCCGAGGACAAGCCCGAGAGTCCGGGCGTCTAACCTGCAAGTCCGACCCCGAGCTCGACCCCCCGGCAAGCAGCACTGTGGTCGCCTGGCAAGAGCACCAAGCCCGGGAGCACTCGAGTCCCGCGCCCAAGTCGCTCAGCGCCCAGGAGAGCCGGGATCCTTCCGGTGGGGGCGGCGTGGTGCCCTCTGGAAGGTGCGGAGCTTTGGGGGACCTGCCTTGGCGCCGCTGGTGCTGGTGGTACCCCAGGAAAAGTCGGGGCGAGGAAGCACAGCAGGGAGCGCCGAGGGCGAGGCCCGGCAGCCGCCGGCGCCCGCTGTGCCGCCTCCTGCCCGCAGCTGCTGGGTGAGTGCTGGGGTTGCGCGCACCGCCGCGTCTCCGGCGCGCGCGGGGGCGGCCTGTGGGCCCCCAGAGGGTCAGCCCAGGGACCCTGGTGGCGAGAGCAGAGACTCGGCAACCCGCGGACGCCAGGAGCTCGCGTTCCTGGAACCCCACACCCGGGAACCCGAGCCCCGAGGGCGTGGAGAAGGGGGTGCTGCGCCGGTTGGTTCCCTGGCAGATATGCCTTTGGGCGGGATTCTGGCCAAAAGATAGGAGGCGGGGACGCCCGCGGTCCGGAGTAGGGAGGTGGACGGACGATCGCGAGCGGCAGGAGCGGGCAGGGGTTCGTCCGAGCAGATAGGGCAGCTCCGGGCACCCCCGCGAGTTGGCTGGTGGGGTTGGAACCTCGCGTGGCAACTCGTGCGTTTTCCAACAGCCTGGGAGTGCCGCAGGAGAGTCAGTGGGGGCAGTAGGGAGGGCACTGGGGCCTCCGGGATGCCGGTGGTGGGGGGAGAGAAGAGAAGCGTCGGAAAGCTGGGAGGCAAAATTGCGCGGGGGTTCCTGCTCCTAGCCTCGCGTCTGCCTTGAGTGCGGGCGGACACTTTCTCAGACTCGGCTTGGAGAGAAAGCCTCGGTCCCAGGGTGGCACAGGCGTCGGTCGGGGGGCAGAGACCGCGACTACCTGCAGGGTGCGCCTGACCACCCCCCCGCCGCCCCCCAAAGCGCTCTCGCTTTTGTCCCCCCCCTTGTCCCCCGCCCCCACCTTCTTATCGGTGCTGGTTTGCAGCGCTAGGCTCTGCGACTTGGCGTGTGAATCTGGCTCGCCCCTCCGTATTATGTCTGCACTCCGAAGGAAATTTGGGGACGATTACCAGGTAGTGACCACCTCGTCCAGTGGCTCGGGCTTGCAACTCCAGGGGCCGGGCCAGGGCCCACAGCAGCAGCTGGTGCCCAAGAAAAAGCGGCAGCGGTTCGTGGACAAGAACGGCCGGTGCAATGTGCAGCACGGCAACCTGGGCAGCGAGACCAGCCGCTACCTTTCGGATCTCTTCACCACCCTGGTGGACCTCAAGTGGCGCTGGAACCTCTTCATCTTCATCCTCACCTACACGGTGGCCTGGCTCTTCATGGCGTCCATGTGGTGGGTGATCGCCTACTCCCGGGGCGACCTGAACAAAGCCCACGTCGGCAACTACACGCCCTGCGTGGCCAACGTCTATAACTTTCCCTCCGCCTTCCTCTTCTTCATCGAGACCGAGGCCACCATCGGCTACGGCTACCGCTACATCACCGACAAGTGTCCCGAGGGCATCATCCTCTTCCTCTTCCAGTCCATCCTCGGCTCCATCGTGGACGCCTTCCTCATCGGCTGCATGTTCATCAAGATGTCCCAGCCCAAGAAACGCGCCGAGACCCTCATGTTCAGCGAGCACGCGGTCATCTCCATGAGGGACGGCAAACTCACGCTCATGTTCCGGGTGGGCAACCTGCGCAACAGCCACATGGTCTCGGCGCAGATCCGCTGCAAACTGCTCAAAGTAAGTGCTGCCCGCCCCTCCCCCCCAACGGAGGAGCACCATCCCCCCAGCCCCCTGTCACCCTCCCACACCCCTCCTCAGCCCCTAGGACACCTCCTGCCAGGGATAAACTTCTTTTGAGGATGGAGCAGGTGAGGGTGTCTGCAGGACTGGATCCAGTGAGCACCGCTGGCAGGTTTGTTCTTCACCTGCTCATTCTGATGCTCTTGTTTATGTCCCTCCGTCCTTGCCACCCTGCCAGCGGGTGTCACGATAGCACTATTGGAAGTAGTAACGCTTATGGAGAGGTGTTGGCCCCAGGTGCCCTAAGGTAAATTGCCCTGTTTTTCCACTCTCTCTGCTCCTTTGCAGAGCACTTTTATTTGGCCCTCATTCTGTTTGCTCCGTGATGGTGGTGCTGCAAAAACCCCGAAGACCTATTATTTTGATGAATTAGGCACCAATAGGACCTCACCTTTCCTTCTGTAGTGGCTCTTTTTTAACATTTCTTCTTACCAAATAATATTGCCTAATTCAGAACTCTACACTCAGTGACATGCACAAGGATGTACCTGTAGGTCATCTCTTTCAGCAAGCTTGCTCAAGGAGGCAAGAAGCAGTTCATAAAGTGGGAGGAACAGCATCATCTGATTCTTAGAAAAAAAAAGACTTAAAATCTAAATATTTTCCTAGAGAAGTGTTTTGTGAAAGCTCGAATGCTTTTCCTGTAGCGTGTCTTTTTAATTTTAATCTTAATTTTTTTTTTTGGTGGTGGCGGTGGAGGGGAAGTTTTGTCAATTACAGACTTCACCTGAAGCTTTTCAGCAGCCATAAAGAAGATTGCTTCCCATCCCTAGCAGTGTAAAAGCATGTGGCATGGTTATTAAAATAAGGTCCATGGATTCCTTAGCCTGCACCATTATAAACAAGAAAGAAGCCCTCCTTAGTCACTCACCCAATTAGAGCCTGGGAGCTAAAGATAATAACTCACTCCCCCCGGGCCCTTTACAGTTCATCTTTTGGAGGGGAGTTCCGAAACTGTTCACAGATTGAAAAAGATAACCTCGAGTGAAATATTAAAAATGCTTCTGAGATTGTTTTGAGCGCCATAATCAGAGTTAGTATTAAGTGTTAATAAGATGAAGATCATACTTAAATTGAGATTTTTGTTTTGAAATCTCACTTTACACCCACCCTGAGAATATATTGTTTTATTCACCCTCAACTTCTGTTGCAGTTAAAGGTAATCCATTGTTTGGGAGCAGTTTGGCCCTTCTATGTCATTTCAGTTATTCCTTTATAAGCCCTCACGCTAATTACATTTGACCACGTTGCTCACTGAAGTTTTGGGGGTGGGGGGACTGAAAAGGAGTTCAGTTCTTGTCACTTTACATCATATACATGCTCATTGTGTTTCAGACAGTAAATGATCTAAATTTTGTGTGACATGGTGTTAATATTTCAACTTGATTCAAATGTACATGCTATTGAAGGTAACTTTGAATAGTTTTTGATCAAATATCTTAAAATTTAATGAAATTCATAGTTTTGATTTAACTTAGCATATGTGCTTGAACTAAGCTTTTCATTTAACTTGGCATTTTATGTTTGACCACTGTCAAAACTAAGTGAATCTTTGGATCAAGCGAAGAAGCAGTTTTGCTACAGACATGATTATTGCAGTGCTATGTGTTGGATAGGCTTCTTTTTCAAGGACTAAACTCTCTCTTTGGGTTGAACTTGCCAGAAAGATAGGAGCACTTTTTATATTCTACTGTCAGATTTTTTTGTCAAGAAATCCATATGTATACATCACTTTGATTCTCTTCTTCATTTTTTATATATATCTACAAGGTGTTTGTGAAAATAAATGCTTTTAAAAGCTATATACTTTAGATAGCTTTTAGACTTTTTTCTATCTTTATTTTCACAAAACCTGAAAGAATTAGAATTATCTTAAATATATACCTATATGTATTTAGATATATATTTTGGCTTTGGTTTTGTTATTTACAAAGGTACAATGGATCTGACGTGTCTTGGCCTCTACAGTGTTTTAGAACACTGATAAATGACATTTGTCCCTATACCATTATAATATTAAGAGAGTCCTGATTAGAGCAATAAAACATTTATAATATTGGCAATTTCAGAGCAAGGTGCTATATCAACATAAGCTGATAAAAAATAATACCTAGTGAATACATTATTCTTATGAAGTACTTTACTTTTTAATTTGTTAAAATGTCAATGCTACAAGTAAATGATTGACATGTGGCATAGATTTATATTTAAACAAAATTATAGTAAAATTTTCTCCTGTTATTTCTGGAGTGAGAGGGTTGATCACTAGGAGTACTGTGTTACTCAGAGAGTGTAGTTTGTTTGAGGCTGAGTTTTTTCTGTAGCCATGGTGATGGAGATGGATTTTCCTAGTTCTTGTCATTTCCTTAGACTTATTAAAGAAAAGTCATGTTTTATTAGAGAACTAATAACATTCAGCAAATTAATGGCGAGTTTTGTCTGCAATAAGTTAGTATCATTTTCTCTTAGGAAGTGAGATAAAATGCCCCAAGCTATATTTTTTCAAAGAGAAGTTATACCAAAATATTAAAGCACTAGTATTTTAGTATCAGGCACTATAAATTTTTATGAAATAATACTATACATATCAGTTTCCTCTTGTAACCCCCACTTGATATTTTTAATTTCTCTGTAACAGAGATGTATCTAAAATTTTAAGGCAATAAAACAACATATTTGATGATTATAATTTTTGTCTATGTATGCTTTGCTATAGCTTCATTTTATTTTCTTGCTGAATAAAAGGTTTTCTCTCAAAATTACTATAGGAGTTCTATTTAAAGATCATACAGCATTTTCTGTTCTTGGGCAAATAGCATATAGGATTGGTTTTCCAACCCTTATTACAGTAAAAATTTCCATGTATAAACCTTTGAATTTTTTAAATTTTAATAATTTTAACTATGTTGCCAATGTTTTATGTAATTAGCTTATTCAAAGAAAATGTTACTTAGTTTAGGAGTCAGATAAGAGTTTTCAACTTCATTCCTAAGAAAATAGTCCATTTTCTATCGAGGAGAAATTAAATAGATTAAATAAAAATTAAAGCTAAATTTGAATTTATTCATTACATATTTTATATGTACTCGGGCTGGAATGACAGCACAGTGGGTAGGGCGTTTGCCTTGCACTCGGCCAACCCAGTTGGCTCAGGTTTGCTTAGAAAATTCCTCAAAGAAGAACATTCTATTTTCTTCTCTTATCTCTGTCTTGATGAATTGTTTGAATTTTCTCTCTTATTTATTTATTTTTAGTATTCTTCTTTTAAACTAGAAAAAGTTGTAATTAAGAATGGCCTTCATATATGTATATACATATATATATATACATATATATATATCATCTTAAATGATAGCACTGTAGCACTGTCCTCCCATTGTTCATCGATTTTTTTTAGTGGGCACCAGTAATATCTCCATTGTGAGACATATTGTTACTGTGTTTGGCATATCGAATACGCCACAGAGTGCTTGCCAGACTTTGCCATGCGGATGAGATACTCTCCATAGCTTATCAGGTTCTCCGAGAGGGATGGAGAAATCAAACTGGGGTCGGCCCAGGTTGGCCACGTGCAAGGCAAATGCTCTACCCACTGTGCTATTGCTCCAGCCCATTATATATATATGAATATATGTATATATATATATATATATATATCTCATCCAGTTGAAAGTTTCTATAAAAAGGCCTGATAAAAAGGCCCGATAATTAAAGCAATGGAGTCTCAATTTCGTGTTGGCTTAAAGGATTTGGGAATTACACTTACTCCTTTCTACAAATATACTAATAGTGTATTTTTTTAGATTGATTTCTTCTAGGTAAAGACAAAGTGTTCTTTAATATACTATTTAGGCATGTACATGGTCCAGAGAGATGATAGTAAAATCTTTAAGAACAAATCAACTAGATAATTGTTGGACCAAAACCCTGAACTAAAGTGATAAAGATAATTTTTTCATAAAAATATTATTTTGTTTCTTATTTTATTTCAAATAAGCATCAAATTTTTTTCTGAGAAGATTTACCCTAACATTCATTTATTTCAAAGCAGTGGTGTTTCTTGTCTAAAAAGTTATTTTTTTACTCACTTTTTTATTCTCCATTTACATGAATACTCAAAATTGGATTTTATTATAGTTCCTCCACATATGAATGTGTCTTTATTTTATCTCTTGCACTTAGATGTGATAATTTTTAATTCTATATGACTTTATATAAGTGATTCTTTTTGTCAGTTGATCTTGGCCAAACTGTACTTTAGTTTTGAATCTATTTAAATTATTAGTTTATATATCTCCTTTAAAAGAGCTGCAGATGGATATCTATTTTAAAAACTTGTTCTTTTTAACATCATAGAAAAAGTATCTGTGAAATCTGGGTACTTCAGTACAGGGGGAGTTTCATTTGTGGAAACATTATCTGTATTTTTAAAAACCATAGTTCCTTATTATCCTCATTGGCATCCTCTGAAAAAAGTGACAAAGACATTTACTTGAGTTCTTTATAAAAATCCTTTCATTTAGGATTTTTTTTTAAAAAATAGGCATAGTATGTTATTTTGTTAATTTTGTTCTTGATTTTTAATGTGGTTCCTAAAAGTACAGTGTGCCTTGTGCTCAGTGTGAACAGAAATAAAAGACTTAGAGACCCACAAATAAACAGTGGTAGGCAAGAACATATGATAAAGAAAAGTAGGAGAAGGCTTTTGTGGGATTTGAGGGTGTTTGTTGAGTAGGAGGAGAATGTGCCAGAAGGGTTACAAATCTCGTCCACAGTTATTATAAATTCCCTAAAAGGCCCTCGAGAAATTATAAAACCATTTTTTCATTTAACTGTATAAAAAAACACACAAATCTATCACAATATAAATTACATTCCACTCTATGTGATACTTTCTTTTCATAAAAGTGAATATGTTTCTATAGGATAGTTAGCTA